GCACACCAACACACTCACTCCACGGTTCTCACGCATACACCCGGGCGCATATCATCCTAATCTAGAGAGGACGTCCCGGGACGCCTCCGACACCCGAGTGTCAGCACACACACATTCACACTCTAATTTTACGTACCATTTTACTGAAATCGACTGACGACGGCTAGCGACCATTGCGTCAAATATGACAAAAAACGCTTATAGATTATCATTTAAACTGGATATATTTCAGTTTCAATTACTATTACTCATAAAATGTTATTAATCAATTAAATATTAATTGCATGTACACCATGCGTACATCATCCGAAGAAATGATGTAAAAGGTACAAAATTTAGTACTGTTATTACATACGTTTCATTGTTATACATTACTATTGAAATAATGGGAAAAACGACGCAATTCTACAGCCTAAAACACACACACACACACACACAATGTAGAAAATACGTCGTGCACGATACACTAACGCATCGTCAGTCGCTGAGAAATTATTAAGCTTATAGACTATGGTCATCATGCTCATTGCCTATCTCCCACCCAAGTAGCACCTGGGCACGTGAGTGAGATCCTGACCATGAACATGGAAGGGGTTAAACCTGAAAATCCTGATTTAAAAAGGATGATTAATATATTTTGTATCTAACGGACTAATGTCTTTTGATTATTTTTTTAATTTTCCATGACTCTGCTTTATAATTTACTTTATTTAATAATTTAATAAATTAACGAAATAAGTGAACACAAAGAGTTAACAATGAATATATTTATCGAAAAGGAAACAGACTAATTGTAAGTGAAATATTGTATAGAAATATTCTCAGGCGATTCCTTCATCAAAGCACGCTTTTTGAAATACAAAAATAGCGTTTGAAATCAGTGCTTTGATTCTGAAATCTGCCTGCCGCGAAGTGTTTTCTTGCACGAATGTATGTGTACATTCTTGAGACGGATAAAACTTTAGATTCTATTGAAATTATTGCATTGATTGTACTATCATAAAACACGAAATAAAATTTTAATTGCAACAGCTATAATACGTATTCCATTAACATTGGAATACTTTCAATTAAAATTGTACTATTCATAAAAACGAAATCGGAGGGTATCCGACTTCTCCGCTACAAACTATCCAAATAAAATCATTGTAACATATGTTATTCATTCAAATATTCATAATTATTCATATACATAGTGTGTATTCGTATTGATTTTACAAATAATTAAAATGAATGGACTTTGTAATTACAAATACATATAATAATCAACATTTTCACACTATATCAATTCTTTATATTTAATATGATACTCGTATCAATTATTAATGCATTATTATTCTCATTAAAAAACGCGACGTGCAAGAAAACCTATCCTGAACTAATAAATAAAATACAGACAAGAAAATGTTACTTCTCACGGGTATAATAAATATCCGTGGTCACTATGCTCGTTCAAAATTCTACGTATACAACCAGTCACCCGTGTCGATTCGGATCTTTCATCCTACGACATGATTGGGTGACCAGAGGAACAAAAATGCATGCGACTCACAATTGGACACAAAGAACGTTGTCATTGATACAGTTGTGGCCTAAGAGAAATCATCGGGAAGGATGTCATCAAAATAGAAATCATCGAGACCCATGGAGGAAATAAAGGCTGCAAGAAATCTGCAATGAAGCACAATTATAATAATCTATTCTTATAAAACGCTTTTAAGCATATATACTTTAATAACAACATTCAATTTAGAAATAAAAGGTTCTCGATTAGATTCTATTTCTTGATTAACAATAATTAACATGAAATACAAAAAATGGAATCAAATGAAGTAGAAAATACGAAGTTACTTACATTCTTGGCTTTCGAAGCACCACTAGGTCCTTCTTTTAAGGAACAGGAAGAAGAGGAAGGAATGCAAAACCTTTAACAAAATATAAATTGTAATATAGTTCGAATACTATAAGAATTGAAGTTTTATTACAAAAATTAATTGGAGTACAATATTCAGAGATTCTTACATGCTTAGCTTTGAAGCATCAGCATATCCTTCCCAGGGTACAGGAAAAAATGCAAGTTGTGGAAAACCTTCAAAAGAACATGTAATATAAAGAATTATTATGATCTGTTCGAACTTAAAATTTTAATAATTAAGCATTTTTATCGTACATTTTAATATTGAAGTTTTGAGATTTTATTGCAACAGAAAAATAGAAAGAACAAAATAAATTACAGTACGATATGCAAAAATATTTACATTTTTGAGCTTCAGGAAAGGCTATATCCTTTTGCGAAACCTGCGACTCTACTACCGAAAACGAATGTTTAGAAAAAAAAAAAAAAAAAGAAACAGAAAAGACTACTAACGCGTCCGTGTAACAATCGGCGAACACACTGACTCTAATTTCGCGAATAATTATTATAACTAAATTCACTAAAAATATTAAAAACATGACGCAACAAGCACTGACTCTACTAATCGCATTGCGCGCGATCATAAAAATTCTGTGGAAGAAAAGCTTTATTATAGGGTAGGGAGTAAAGAAAAGAAGTAAAATATTTTTCTAAATATTTTTTTTTCTTCTTCCTATTGAGTGTTTGCTTAAGAAAATACTGCTTTTATAAGTATTACACATCAATTATTAATGACACTGGAAATTCTAGAAAATAATATTAAGTTCAAAATAAAAAAATAGAAAAATAACGTTTGACATATCTAAAATCTCGTTTATTTTCATCTTAATATTCTCAATAGATCATTGTATTACATATTAATTACGATATGAATTGTTCATTAAGAATATCTATCGATCAAATATAGAATAAATGTTACCAATAATAAGATGAACATTTCAGCTTTCGACACAACGAATCAAATATTACCACAGCTTTACAAGAAACTAACGGATTTATTGTTAACCAATATGGCGTCCATTTGAATTGGCGTCCATTTCGATTTCACGGCGTCCTTTCCTCACTGTCCTTCGATCTATACAAAAGAAATGAAAAACTTTCAAATAAACGCATGAAAGGGCGAAATCACATAAAAATGCTCATAAAAAACAATGTTCAAGGTGAAATGCTCGTAATACGAGCTACCGGCAAACGCAATAACTACACGCTCGAAGAAAAAAAAGGGATTGTCGTCATATATTTCAGTAATAATATTCGATAAGGTATTGAGTAAATACGTAAATACATACGTTTAGGTGAAGCTAATAGTAGCGTGAACGTGAATGGTGAAAAATAGAACTATTGTACAGTTAATAAATGTCACACGACATAATGACACATCTTTACCTTCCAATTTTCCACAAAGGACTAAATCCCTGCGCAACAGGTTTGCGTCGCAAATTAATTTGGAGGGGTGGGGGCCGAACGTGCACGAACATGATTCGGCTCATTAACGGTAGAGGGTATCTATTGATATATATATAGATATTGTACATGCTAGAGCATTCACGGAAAATATTTATGTATGCTTACGCGCCAATTTCGCTTAATCGAACAGAATCAATCCAATTAAATCAACATAAACGATACTATCTTAATAATTATACACGTATATTCGTATATTTGTAACCAACACACAAACATGTACGTTCGCTTCTAATCAACGTCAGTGATTTGAATTCAACATATATATGTAATAATTCTTTACTAACGTTGATTGTTCGAAATTGTAGACATGTTTAACAATGTAAATCAAATATAAAAGTTATTAACCGTAGATTTTTACCTGAGCAACTCTAGACAATGATTCTTGCTCTGCTTCCCGCTTAAAACTGACGGTTAGATGACGAAATATAATATCGAGAATCACAACAGCTAATTACATATTTTCACCACTTCATTTGGCGCTGTGATCTTCACCCAATTTGAAAACTATTACGCGCGCATTTACATTATAATTAAATTATATTACAATTTTTCAAATTATTATAAAATTTAGAAATTATAATTTTTAATTATAGTTATATAATTTATAAAATCATCATTTTATAATTTTTTATTTCAATTTCATAATCGGAGTTACTTTTAGAAAATCTATACCGGGATTTGTTCTTTTTGCAGAATACGAAAGAAACGGAATGAAACTAATTATAGCTGACAAAGATTTCTTTTTCAACAGGAATAATTGTTACAAACGGCGTCGCGACAACCGGATCATCCATCTGCCCGTCAACTTCCTTCCGTTTCAATTTCGTCGACATCCATTTTCAAGTACATAATTTACTAATTTGAATCGGAACTGGCGGGATTTTCAATTCAAAAAAATACATTTGTACGAGCGTTGGAGAACATCAAAGCGTGTCACATTGTCGGACGTCTCTCTGAACATGTTTCTTTTTTTACGCTCAAAGAAAGTGAAGTGAAACCTTCGAGTAGAAAAAAATAACTAAAAACTAGAAATTGAAAAGAGAGTCGTTAAATTTTTAATAACTAGAAATACTTTTTAATATTGTAGAAATTATATTATATTTTTAATATTTAAAAATAATTTTAACATTGTAGAAAAAAATTATTTGACAAAGTCACAAGATCAGTCATAGCATAAAAATGAAAACCGAGGGAAGAAAAGAAAAAAGAGTTGGAACGAGTACATTTATGGCTCCTATCTTGGTAGATAGTGTTCATTAGGGACACTGAATACGTGTTAACGGACACGATAAAAAAGAAAATGATTCAACTCGTGGGAAGGCTACTACAGATAAATGTGGCATTTCAGATTGGTCTGACGCAAATCTCTTAATTATAGAAATGTCAATTTTAGAAAATTCTGCAAAAAAAAATAAAATTTCAATAACAAACTAATTTTTTAAGCGCATAGCAAAGTTGTCAGAGAATAGAACATGACAGTCATACATCGTCATATCTCTGACAGATTTCAGGTACCGCCAGTTCATTGTTTTTTTCCCTTTCTGTCAAAAGATGATAGATTTGTGATGGTCAAAGAAAAACGTCAAGGTTGGAACACCCGTGCTGCGAAGATCGTAACATGGAGCTCAGATCAATGTCAAGGCGACTACCACTTTACATGCACGATAAACAGAGATTTATTAACTCGCAGAATGTCTCCACGACGAAAAAACAAAATGGTCCTCTTCAAACTCATTTTTACTTTCATGATATTCCTTTTACAACTTCATCCGCTCTGATTTTCAAAGATTAATTTAAGCTTTAAAGATTAATCCTTCTTTAAAAATCAAAGGTCAAGGTAAAATCAGAATAAAAGAGGAGGGCAATTCATCATCAGTGATAGTTAAAGATGTATGTATCTTTCCAAAATGTAAATGCTTTGTCTATTCTGTCAGTGGATTCTTGATAATCCTTTTGTGTGTTGTCTGGATTAGCCTGGTGTTTCCTTATCCTATGCATGCTTCTTGCATTGTAAAATGGTATTTCAACTATTTATGTAGAAATAAGAACTTATTTATAATTAATTTTTTCATTCAAATTTGTTTTTTCTATGAAATTTTCTTATCGTTTTAAGTGATTATATGATTCATGAATTATCAGCATCTTGTCATTTACGCCGTTCATTTTTGTAACCAAAAGTACTGTAGCATCAAATGGAGCAGCATAAATGTTCTGTCTATAATCCTAAAAGTTTGAGAAAAATGTGTTTTAAGATAACATCTACTTCACAAACAATCCTGTGCGTAGAGAAACTGAATATTGGCCGGCAATGGTGAGGTTCGTATATTTTTCTTTGGCTGGACGACATCGCTTGAAAAATATACGAACCGCACTTTTCAAGCTCATGAGAATGTCGCGTGTGTTATTTCGGTGCTCCCCTTTGAACTTCCACGCTGCCAAAAGACGATAATAAATTTTCACGAATAAAACAGTCGATTTAGAATTAAATATATCTTATCCAATTTGATGGACAATCGTAGGAATTTTTTTCGATTAATTTAAGAAGAATATTTTAAAATAATTTATTATTTTTTTCCTTTAATAGGAAATTTGAAGATCCATGCAAATATGTTATGCAAAAATTTAGGTCTCAGATACTTAATTGGTCGTCCTACATGAACTGTGGTCCACGTAGTAGCAAATGTTTATATACGGTAGAGAAAATAACTTTTGTTTCAATATCGAAACATTTTAATTTTGAAAAAATACAGCAGAATATACTTTTAAAATTACTTTGCTTTTATAGCTCAAGGAACCAAAACCAAATGAAAGTACTATAATTAAAGCTATTCATTTCGCTCTAAATATGAAAACGATGGAAACAATAAAAATTGATTTTGAAGAAATCAATAAAACCTGCGTAGCAACGGTACATTCAATTTTTTAACAATAATTTTAATGATAATTTTTAAAGTCATTTCTCATTACCAAATCCGTATCAAAGGGGGAATCCGTATCAAAGGAATGGTTCAGGATATTCGATTATGGAATAAATTACTGTAATCTACACAATTTAGTAACTGAAATTGGGTTTGATAAAAGTTCAACGTTTTTAGAACTGACGACCAATGCAATTTGTACCCAATACAACATGGCTGTTTGTAATTGAAAATATTACTTTGACTCTACTTTAATATTTGTGAAATATTTTCATTTAATTAATGAATATACGTTTATAAATATTCTTAAATAAAATACCTATAGATTTCAATTGTTTTATTAATATCACTTTTACAACACGAGAGTTTGTATAAAATAATTTAAATTACAATCATTTAATTTATGTTTCTTAGAAATACAGGACATATAAAATACATTAGCAATAGCTGTTTTTTATATACAATTATAATTCTTTTTTAAGTCCCATTCAAAATATGAAATATACAAACCATTTTATCACGCAGTTTTTTTTTTTATGAGTCATACTCTTGAAAGGCATCGTATTGACGTTAAAATTATGGACATTTATAATGTTCAATAAATTGTACAATTGATAAAACAATTACATCAAACCATGCAATTCATTAAGAATATTATTTTGAAAAATTCAATTCAATTAATGTAATACAATTTCAGTCTAATTCCATTTAACTCAATTAACTAATTTATTATTGTGCTAAAAAATTTTTTAGTCACCTATTGTGCTTCCATTGATATGTCTATTACAATGTCTTTGTCCATTCATTGTAAATAATCGACATCTTTTGCCACTTTTTGTTATAGCATTACATAGCATTCTTGATGTTGGAGTAACACTGAAATCATTTTATTAAATCCTACTGTAACAAAATGTAATGTCCTATTTTTTAGTTATTTTTAAGTTTCATATACCTCCTGGAGGGTGAACGTTGATAAGAATTAGATCTGCCGACAGAACCATCTCTTCTCTTTAATCTTCGCCTCAGATCATTGGCATCGAATAAATAGTCAAAATCATCAATAGACCTGTTCATCAAGTTCGAATGTTCGAAATCGCTGAGATCTTCAGACATAGTTGGAAACTCTTGTTCACGTTGTAGTTCATAATTACGAACAAGATCTTCCTGATTTTTCCTCGAAGAGGTATACGAACAAGACAATTCCTCGTGTGGTGTCGAACTTCGCCTGTTCCATGAAGCTGCTGCTTGTATCAGCGTGTTAAATTTCTCTGAAAATTGGAATTAATTGTTTTAATCAAAATAGAATGGAACATTGTTACTATAGAACTTACGAATAAATTGATTTATTTGGTAACGGGCAAAAACATAGATTTTCCTGATATTTGTCTTCAGATTTGTATAGAAAGATACTGAAGAGACACGTGGTAATTGAGCAGATCCAATTTGGTTTATGACTTGAATGGGGTCTGATCGCGTTTCTGTCCTTTTTGCACCGCATAAACGTTGAATTCCAATCATTAAGAAATGCACTACGAGAAAAAGAAATTAAAATTATATACTAAATTTATAAATATTTTTTCTGCATAACACATACTCATCGTGATTAAGAATATTAATACGCTTATTGATACAAAATCCAAACAAGCATCCATGCCATGTTTCAAGAAAGACACTAAGTTTAATGGTACAAGTCCCATAATAGTAATTCTGGTCAATAATGGCGCATGAAGGAACGCAGCAATCACCATAGCAAATAATAAGTAAACAATGTGCAAGCCTACACGATACATTTGATACATTTTTTCTCCTAAAGATTTAGAAAATTTAGTTATCTTTTTTTCATATTATCAATATTTATAGATTTTAAAATTACCAGTGTCACCAATGTAACTGGTCAACCAATTCAATTTCTCATCCACTTCTGCACGCATGCTGTTTGTTAGATTCCAAATATAGTGAACAGTATTGTTAACCTGATTTAATTTTTCTATAGCTTGTTCAAATCGAATAAGTGTTGTTTCATGGTAGTCGAAAATATTACGTGTGCTGGCTTCTATCTTATCCCACATCACTTGTGCTTGCTCTTGAACATTATACAAATCTTCTAATATTTCATCATGGTTTTCCTCCATTTCAATAGTTTGTTGCTCTAAACGTTTATTTGCCTCTTCTATAAAGCAACTGAATTAACTAAATGAATAGTAGTCACAGATATATATTTTGATTCATTTAATTAATTACCTAATTTTTTCCTAATATCGTCTGCAATTATTGCAAGTTGTGCATGTCCAGATTTAATCAAGGCCTTTTCATTCTTCAATTCCCTCAAATTTGTCGTCACGAGATTAGAAGCAGATGTTTGTGCTTCTTTTAATCGTTTTTGCTGTTCCAGCAATGCTTTATTACCTTCTGATAAAGCTAATAAGGCTTGTACAGTCTGTTCTTCTAAACGGTCTTGACCTTCCTGAATAAATGTTGAATAACAGAATAATATTTTTCTCTGCAACTCATATATACTATTTTACTCACTTTTAATGAACTTAGTGTTTTAATTTGTGTATGTGCAGATTGCATTAATTTGTTTACAGTCAATTCTGTAAGAGCACGAAACTGAGTACTACGGGCTGCATAACAAACTGCTCTAGCTCTATTACTCATTAAATGATATGCATTCCACATATCTGCATCCATGTCTGTGGTACATTGTTTCAGTGACTGTAAAAATTTAAATAATCATTCTATACATTAGAATTATAATCATTCTATTATTAAAATTATCTAATAAAAGAATTGTTGTAGTAACTGCTGCACTATTCACTTTTATATACAAATAATTAAAATAATAAGTTTTTGGAACATGTAAACTTGTCCAACTGATCACTTCCAAGTACAAACAGAGACTGTGCTAGTGGAGGTCTGTCTGTTGAGTGGGGAAAAAAAGCAAGTCTGAACATGCTTTAGACCACCTTTCCACATGTGTTTTCACACACAAAAAACTGTGATGTATATTTAAGTGTATATAGTTGAATTCTATTCTATGTCTTATTGCATAATGCCATTAGCAAAACAAAGTTAAGGTACAAGCAATTCAAACATATTCAAAATTGTAAGTAAAAAAATGTTGAAGTTTTAAAAACTAACAGTTTTGATATTGACTTAAAAATTTATTATAAAAAAAAAATAATGAAATTTTTACCATTTCGTCAGTGCATGGGAATACTTTTCTGCCTTCTACTGCAGACTGACAATTCAAAAGATTAACGCTAAGTTTAGCAAGTTGTTCCTCGCTCATCCCAGAGCAAGAAGTTTTAACCTTCATAATAACTTTGTGCTGGCATGTTTCCAAAGGCGATGACACCTGTATTTCTGTAAATTTTGCAGCTTCCTGAAGGAACTTTTCATCCTCTGTCATAGATTCATAAGGAATTGAGATTAATGGGACACCATCTGCTACTAAAACAGTAGTCTCATCTGTATCCTTGCTCCAAATCCACTCAAATACTGAAGCATAACCACCTTGATAAATTATTGACACAAAGAAAAATATCAACAAACGTGCAGGTACCATTTTGTTTTGTTCTCGCTGAAAAAATAATGACAAAACTTATCATCTGATATTATTTATAAAATATTAATTTGTAAAATAAAAATTGGAAGAAATTATTGTCCTGAATGACACTGAACGAGAGGGACTTAATTAAAATAAAAATGAAAAGCTAACAAAAGTTACATACGTACATGCTATTAAAAATATGAATTTTAAAAAATTAATTTTTTTCTCATAATGCTACAAGCACATTACTAAAAATAAAATCACTTTTAGAGACATTTTCAACGAAAAAATATTTCATTCATATCACCAAAAATTTCATAACAATGGTGAATGACAGACAAAAATAACTGCTTCACGTGTGGATTCAACAATAAACGTTTATTTTCTCTCGCTACGATTACACCTTGTATTTTGTAACAGTCGTAGCGCTACGATCCAATGGCGGAGAAATTCAAACGTGGAATAGTATTTTATTACGTAATTATTACTTGACTTTCAATCTTATGAATTAATTTAAAAAATCATAAACATTTATTATAATACGCGATTTAAATACTACATATATATTGATTTTTTAATGTAATAATAAATTACATTAAATAGATATATTGAACGATTTGAATTTTTAAAGTATGTATTTTCTGCATCGACCAATCAGAAGCCCGTTTTTATTTACGTCATTTGAATAATTCTTTGAATGGACCAATCAGAGCGCTCCCCGGTTATTAAACTGTCTGCGCAGATCAGTTCCGCGTCACACGCAGTACAGCATATACATTCATCGATGTGCTCGTCGCGAATTAACAATTTTTTAAATTAATTATGTAAAAAATAGTGTTGAAAGTGCTCACGGAAGACATCAAAGTACTCTACGTCTGGTTTTGGTAAGTCAGAGATATTAACATCACTTTAGATTAACTTTTTGGCAAATAATTTGTGAGTACTGAGTACACATATACTGCGCGTTTTTTGAAATTTGTACTGTACTATCAAATAAAAGATGCCATTGCACAAATTCTTTTGTAATTTTTAATTTGAAGCACTCTAGTAATTAAAAGTACGACAGCGTGTATTATAAGCATATAATAATAAACTATGGGAAATTATAATTACAAAAGCCAATCGCCTTTGACTAGCTTTGAATTGTAACGGCCATTTTCAAATTGATCGTTACTAGCTACTTGGACTGACTACGCTAGTCAGATTCAATCAAAAAGTGGAGACATATTATATATAACTGTGATTAAAAATTATAAATTTTAGTTATTTTTGTATATTTACAAAAAGTAATTTACAAGTTTCGTACAAATCATTTCTTAATTTAAAAAATCGAATACTGCGTTATTTCTTTTCCGGAAGTACTTCGCTAATTCCGTACATTCCCGCCAGTAGCCTGCCATGTGAAGTAGGCACCAGTTCTTTTGGCGCCAAATATGGTCCTTTCTCGTCCATATACACATATCTAATTTTAAAGTTTCGTTAAGAATTTATTTAAATCTTTTTACAAGAATTGTAATATACTAAAAATTTTATTACATATGGTTATATGTAATATACTAAAAATTTTATTACGTATGGTTATATTCACACATAACGTAGATATTAATTTTCAAAGGATACGGTAATCTCAAGACCCAGTAGGCACTTTGCGACAATTTTATCGGTTCATCACAACCAGTGACAAAAATTGGGCAAGGTGGAGGTCCGGGTTGTACTCTAGGATTTAACGTAACGTGAACAGGAGCTTTTGGTGTCACTACATGAATTCTCATTAATTGGGCTATCAGGGGTTTCGTTTGTCTGAAAATTTCGAAAATTTCGACGTTTCTTAACTCCAATTCATTTCTTAAATATTTACGTACCTGCAGGGACAGGGAAAATACAGCGGCATGTCAGCAGTGCTGGATGTAACTTTATTTCCACTATCTTTTACAATACCATTTCCGGTAGCTTTTAAAACTTTATCAGGCGCAGACGCCATAAATCTATGCCCTCGTGGACATTCGTACTCCACTCCCACAAATATCTTCACCACGAACTCTTTTCCACCTTTTGATTTCCGGCCACGAATAGTATTCATATTTTGAAAGTTTTTCCCTCTGGGACAATAGCCATGAGTTCCATGATCACCTATGGTCGACCATAAAGAGCCCCTTTCTTTTTGATGCTCTAGTCTAACCGAAAGTCAATTTCTACGAATTAAATCCAATTTAACGATAAATACAAATATTAAATTACCTCACAGTCACATCCCAAGGTAAGAGGAAAGCAGAAGTGGGTAAAACGCCAGCCTGATGCTGTAAACCCAAATTATGAGAATACAGGCTACTTGGTCCGAGACAAACTAGAGACCAACTAGAGAATTGTGGCAATAAACCAGCTGGTGATTCTGTATGTAACATTCCTGGTAGATATTCTGTTGTTGATGGTTGTTTGACTAGAGACTTTTCTATAAAATTGCAAAATACTGATGTTATACAATGATCGGTATATGCAACGTTGTAATCAATTTTTATAATAATTTACCTCTCGCATTTTCTGCATCACTATCCGATACTTCTATGACAACTTTATGGGCATCACTAGGTGTTAGACTAGTTTTGCTACTGAGTTTAGGTACATCTTCGTTAGTTTCACTTGTTGGAGGTGATTGACCTCCGCTTCCATATGGTGTCCGAATATCGTCTGAGAAAATTCCAAGAAATTTGTTTATCTGAACGTTCTTAGACAAATATTTTACTAAAAAGCTTTTTATCAAAGAAGCAATAATTACCATGTAAAGTATTGACTCCTAAACTACAAGCTTGAGTATTTCCCTGAGATGTTGGAGACTCTATATGACTAAAAGAATCCTTTCGCTTGGTAGAAAACAACTGTGCAGGCCTGCAATAAGAACGAACACACGATTACTCAAACTTTGAAACACATAAAAAACTGTTAGTAACATCAACAATTATCATACGTATTTTACCTATAATTGTGCGTGCTTGGTTGAAAAATAGGAAATTGTATACTTTCCAACTGAGCGCAAGCACACTGTTTAGCCAGCATTTGAAAGTAGTCGTAGTTGGCCTGCCTCAGACTGAAAGGGTCCTCCCTCGAACCTTGACAACGACCGCAATTGCAGGCACAGATATATCGAACTCCGCTGCAATGCTCTCTGATTGGCAAATCGCTGTAAAGTGATACAGCCTCAAATTAGAGTTATATAATGTGTAATGAAAGATAATAAATCATTTTCCAAGCGACACGCACTTGTCGCTGTCCCTTTGTTCCGTCTGTTCCCCGCCACCAGCGCCTTCACTTCCACCTCTATGTATCGGATTCGTACAGGGATTCCCTGTCAGAGATAGTACCTCGCACATTTGCCTGCCAGATCTCCAATGTTTCTCGCACTCGACTTGTAGTTTTTCACTGAACTCTTCGAACAACGGACCTCGTGCATGCATCTCAAAAACTGCCATTGCATGAGCCAATTTTGTCTCGTGATACGCTCTGGTGTAAATATTGAAGGATTATTTTATTGAAATTTCCCCCTGAGAATCTTGAATACCTTGTGTAATGTTGTGGAAGATTCTCTTGGTAAGTCTGAAGAGCTCGGGGCAGTACTTTGCTGCACCTGCTCTTGCTGAACTTTACATCAGTATCTAACAAGCTATGTAAAGTTAGTAGTTCTTTGTCTGTCCCATATATAAAATAATCATATACCTTGTTTGCTACTTCACAGAATATTGTGACATTGGGTATCTATTAAAAGAAAAATTAAAGTTAGAATTAAGTGTGAAATTATAGTAGTTGTTTTGGTTTTCTGGACTGACTTCAAAATATGCAGGTACAGAGTGTCTTCCAACATTATCATCAAAACCTCTTGCAAAAGCTAAGTTTATGTGTTGTTGTAGAAATGATCTGAAGGAACGAGTTTCTGTGAACACAGAAAAAATTATTATTAGTTTCATTAACTTTTAATTTTATATATTATATTTACCAGTTTCTGTATCATCTATTTGAATGTTGGAATCCTGACTGGCCAAACTTCTCGAAGTGCTTCCTCCAGAGCTAACTTTGCAGCTCTGTATGAGTTTCTTCGCCATGTATCCTAGAATATCTCTAGATTCTATTGTACCAGTATGTACATAAACAAATTCTTGATTTGCAGGAATTGCAAACAGCGAATTTGAACTGAAAATTTATCCACATATTTTACACATTGAATTAAATAATTCTTGAGTCCTGTAGTGTTTATATTTACCTAATATTAGTTACTATACGGTTTTTCCTTAATACTTGATATATTTGATCTTCCAAAGAATGCTCTAATTTCTTAATATTAGCTCCACTGGTAGCATCTTGGAACACAGTAGGACAAGTTTCAAAGTAAAATAAAACTCTCGGAGAACAGGGTCTAACATTTGAAATCCAATCTTTAGGTAAGCTGTATATGCAGCTTAAAACATCGGAAAGTTGTGGAGAAACTTTCTGTCTAGAAATCAAAACATGTATTCAAGACCGTAGGATAATATATTCATTGGAAAGATTAATATATACCTCACAATATCCATGGCCCTGAATAAATGTATATAACTGTAGTCAAATGTGTGAGTTGGATGAGTGAGAATAATAACATGTGATATATGAAACAATACAAGTAATGCTTTTGCATATTTGTCTCTCATGTGTGCCCACACACTAAGGAAATCTTTACAGTCTTGTTTCTCTACAAATTTATCATATTCTGTTAAAAGAGTATGGGTATCTAACAGTCCTCTTAAATGCAAGTATATAGTCCTATCTTTTGAATCATAATATCCCTCAATTTCACACTGAAAATAGTTTCATTTATATCACTTTCATAGAAGTTATTTCGAAGATTCTGTTGTGTGTGGAGTAATTCTTACAAATGATTCTTTATTCACTTCTGGTTCATCCAGGAGGCCCACCTGCAATACTGAACTGAGCATGTTGGTCTTGCATCCTTTTGCACGATGTTGTGATTTTCCAAACACAGATACTATTACTACTTTCTTGTCGGTCTGTATAAAGCTAAAAGGAAGATATTGAACGTTGTCATTAATATTAAAAAACAAACTTTTTGTATTGTTACTCGGCAAATTTATAAATTAATGGAATTAAAAAAGAACGTAAAAAAATGTCCTCCCTTTAATTACCTTTCTGCACTGCATGGAAGCCGGAATTTTTGCGGTCGCATCATATATTTGTTTTAGCGATTTTGAGGTTATGTTTTATTGCATGTTACAAGCAACGCAATTCACTACACTGACACACGTAACAGGTTATTTGGAATAGCATTGGAAGAATTGCAAAAACATGTGGATACTTAATTATTGATCTTAAATAATTTATTTTTTAACAGTGTATTTCATTTAATAAATATTACACTTAAATGAGAGTTTTTTTCGGTATCGCAAGAAAACTAACATAATTAATTACATTGGGAAAAAGTATTTAGTCGTTCATAATTTATCATTAAATAATTCAAGCGGTTGGCATCCTTTTCTTCGCGACGCCACTAGTTACATTACCACTTATTTAAGGTGTCAAACATTATTATCGATTTAAGAACAGAGGGCGAACTTCATTGAATTCGATTGTTTATTGCTCCATCGCCTCAGACTAGTGGAACTGCTGTTTAGATGACGATATCATTAACTTTGAATTCATTAACTAAGGGGAGAACCCTTTAATTCCACAAGCGAGTATTAATTTAATGCAGTCATAGAGGATTGTCAGATTCTCGTTTCAAATATGGTGTTAACGAAGGAATATCGTATATGCATGCCACTTACCACGGAAGAGGTAATTCTTGAATTTTTTATGTAAATCATTATCACACTTACTATCCATACTCGCATTCTTTCTACGTATAATTGCTTCGAAGTTTTTTTAATGATATTTCGTTGTAATTTTTCACTCTGTCAGTTAATATTCTTTCTCAACGCTTGACGAAATACAATTAGGATCAAGGTTCATATTTCACCTTTAGCAATATTCTTTGTAGTATCGCATAGGACAGCTTTATATGATTGCAAGACACAGTCATGAGCAATCAGATAATGATGAGGGTGTTGAAGTAGTTGAAAATGTTGAGTGTGAACACCAAGAGCATGGAAAAGGCCAATATACAGAGAAACGGATCCATTTGTCTAGGTAATCTTCATGATAGCTCTAACATTTCTGTGCTCAAATTCTCACGGTATTTTTGGCGTGAATTTGCAGTAAATTGCCATATTGGATTCAGTCGGTCATTCCACGAATATTCTATGTCACAGAGAAGGCATGGAATTATTATCCCTTTACTATCACAGGTACATCTAAGTATAGATAATATGTTGTCAAATAGAATTCACAAATATTCATAAATTTTTACCTCATTAAATAATATGGGTTTCTTTTTCATGATACTTATGGTCTACCAAGAATATACTGTAAGTATGTGTGATGTAACTTTGTGTGAGGTCTCTTGTTACATAAACTTTTACTTTCCAGTGTTCTTTTATTCCAAAATTTCACATCTCGATAAGAACTCGATATGAGAACAACAATGGATCCACAGAAAATGTATGTAAATGAGGTTTATGCATAAATGGAATCAGTTTTGTTATTTACAACGCTGTTAAAATAGTGCTTAGGTCTGTCTCCTATTGAACTGATTCATCGTGAGGTTGATTTTGTGGACATCGCGTATGATGAATTGTCCTCGAAACACTATAAAGAGGAAGAGGTATTATAATCGTTGTAACACTTCGATTTTGGGATAGAAATGTTTGCATTGAGATATCTTTACTTTAGGACCCAAAATTCTTTCAATCGCAACGAACTGGTCGTGGGCCATTGGTAGAGGGGTGGAAAGACACCACGCAACCTGTAATGTGTTCTTACAAACTAGTTCAGGCCTCTTTTGAAGTATGGGGCATGCAAACTCGCGTGGAAGACTTCATTCATAGAGTAATTTATTTACAAACATTTGTAGAGTATTTAAACTACAAAAAATGTGCAACTATAATGTTCTTACATCTGCAGTGTATAAGAGATATTTTATTATTGGGTCATCGTCAAGCATTTGCGTGGATCGATGAGTGGTACGATATGACACTAGAGGATGTTCGACAATACGAACAAAAGATGCAAGCCGAAACTAATGAAAAAGTGCGGCTCAGAAATATGAATAATGAAAAACCGGCTACACCAACAACACCAACTTCATCGGTGCCATCTTCGCCATTACCTAAATCCCCTACACAGTCCACTCGGTCATGGTTCTCTTGGTCTTAGCCGTAATGTTAGAAAGATAACAATAGCGTATTTAGGGAACATAATCATAATTGTGCAAATAAACATCAGCATTTTCGATTCTGTGTGTATATACATGTATAATTAGGCACCTGTATCAGGATTTATAAAACAGAGTTCCTGTTCCTGTTTCTCTTCTAGATCATTTCTTTGCGAAATTATCGTCATTGTTATTAATAATATTGTTAAATATTTTTATAGTTTAATCATGTTTACGTTAATCAATTTAATAAGGCTAGCTGAGAGCAATATTTTAAAAAAGTGCAAGTTTCTTGTGAATTTTATCACCTTTAGTAATTACTTCTTTGTAGCTAATTTTCTGATTGTTATTTATAAACATTTATAAAGTTGTTTTACGAAGAACTGAAAGTACCAGGAGTAGTTGTGAAATCATTGGAAATATAAAATTAATAGTGAAATTTGAATTTAATAGGGGAGATACAACAGCACATCCAAAGCGGATGTTCATTGATATTATATACACCGGCTTAAATTATATCGATATGTGAAATATTGTAAAGACCAGTGATAATATTTAACGTAAGACTTATTAAACATCGTAGCAAATTTTTGTGACTGCACAAAGGATATAAATATATATGTATAAATATATATTACTTCTTAATGGAACTACAAACTCTCACGGCACTACTGAATTGTCTTTTCTTTTTGATTTGATATGAAATCTGTATTAATTAACAGATAGCTGTAGTGTCGTTTTTTAAAAAAGTAGTTTCTAAAAAGCAGGTTGTACATAATTATCTGAGCTAGAGCATCGATTTTAATTCTTCTAATTTTTAAAATGTATGAAGAGTACCTATTTTTAATTTAGCATTTGAATTTTTTTCCGTTTCTAATTTATGTAGTTACATGTTGTTCAAAATTTTCGTGGGACCAAAAGACACTTTAAAACAAAAAGAAAAAAAAAAAAACTGATAGAAACGCACAATAATTTTCATACTTGTTCACTTCTAATTTTTATATAAACTCAAAGATTGCAAGCGTAACTATACACACTTGCATAACTACACACTGTGCCATGGAAAGAAAAATGTTTGATCTCATTGTTTTTCACCGCTCAGTTTCCATGGCACATTTAAAATTGTGTTCCTTTTTGAAAAGGTACTCACAGCAAAGCATTTAATTGCCTTCTTATTGTACAAATATGTATTTAAATAAACGTTTCAAGCTGTTCTTCTCAGAAGATCCATTATTGTACTGTTTTATTTCCAAATTTATCAATTAGTCCAATGTTAAGTTTCCAACATAATAGCTGTTTGTTAAGAGAAAAATTCATCTGAACAAATAGCTTCCATACGTGGAAATTTGCTGTACAAAGGACTAATTAAAATCAGTGATTACTTCTTTTCACTCGTTTCTATAAAATAGAGACACATGTAGCTTGAATGAAAGTATTAAAATTACAACATGTAAATTAAATTATCACATGTCCATTCAATGCTACTGAAATGCATATGACTGCGTCTCTTCATATAATAGAATTGGATTTTTTTTTTCATCAGAAGTCGACTGAAGAGTTTTAATAATAATATTCGGTTTATTAATCGGATGATTAGCACAGTAATTTACGTCAGATTGTTAAAATTTATGATATTCGATTCCAACTTTTATTAAATTAAAAATTCTTCAATTATTAAATTAACATAAATTAAATATTCCAAGTAACGTGACTCCAAATTGTTGCTGCTTGCTCCCAATGATCCACCGATACCAAGTAAAATTTCTTTTTGACATTAGAAAAAAAGAAAAAAAGAAAGGAAAAAAGGGACAGCATTACAGCCCCGAAATATTCAATTTGCGCTTGTGCCTCGAAAGGGTGATGTAAATTAAAACAAAACATCAAATTCATCGACGCTAGAACAATTATTCACGATTAAATAATTACTCGGATAGGTTATCAGAGCGCCACCGAGAGGTCCTGAACTTTTAATTGTCTTCGAAGTTGAAACGAAATTAATAAACTTTGATCTGTGAATGTTAAACTCGCGGTGTAGAGGGGAGGAGCTGCTCGACCTAGTTACCTCTCTCTCCTCGCTTTTTCATTATATTCATTTAAACAGGAATCGAGAGGGGCGCGGAGAGTTAGAGGGAGAGAAAGAGAGGAAAAATGCTTGGTGTAAGCCAGCGTAGCTCATCGGGATTTCCGGTTGTTTCCCAGATTGATTTACGCGACCAGGATCGAGAATGCGCGAGGATATTTAGCAGAATTATCGATAACAATGTCACGTCGTTCGCTTGTCCCGCATTTTTTTATTTTTATTTTCCGCGCTTTTCCCGTGATTTGCTCTCGTTATACAGGACTGTTCAGAAAAGATTGTGTTTATCAGAATTTCTCAGATTACATTTACCAGAAATCTTTACGATCACGAGGGTTATTTTTTGGATTTACTTATTAACAATTCTATATATCAAATTAGTCGCAAAGTACATGTGGGATTAAAAAATTTTATTATTCGCGATTAAACATTGATTTTTAACCGTTTGAACTTGTATTGGACGCTGGTGGTAACAATACAAATATTGGAAATTGTTTTAAAAGTTATCACACTTCAAAAAATGATAAACAAATAAACGATATATTAATGAATAAAAATTAACAATAAATTGATAATAAATTTAAGAAATTAATAATAAATTATATGATAATAAATAGAAAACATTTGTAACTCAGTTTAAAATAAATACAAGTGAACGAGCAACAACGTTGGAAACAAATCGAGTTCCAAGGGTTAAGAATAAAAAGTGTCCTGAGATTTTTGAGTTATTTTGTACGTACGTACGTATATATTTTTTAAAAAAAAACGAACAAATTAGTTCATTTATCCGAGATAATTAATTTTTATCATAGATAGAAGTTCCTTCGATTTGAATTGTAATTGAAGTTTTTGATTTGATTGTACAGCACCCTTTTCTTCCTCGGTGTCTCTCACACACAGCTATCTGTGGAAATTTCTCTCAAGGGCTGTTCCCTTCTGTAGTTAATTCCCTTCTCTAATTACCCAATTTCATTGATTACTGCCTGTCTACATTACTCTCTCTCTCTCTCTCTCTCTCTCTCTCTCTCTCGTCCCTAAATCACCACCAACCTATCACCACCTTCTCTACATGATTATTCCTCATCCTTACGTTCACTTCCTTCACCTATTTCCTATTTTCGTCTTTAGTTTTCCTATATGTTCTACTTTCACTCATCTTCTTCTCGAAAATTATTCTTGAACAATTTCACACAATTTTCATCGACTTTACTATCGACAGCAATCTTTCTATACTTCACATAAATTTCTAACATTGAATATCCGAGTATTAATTCGCAAGAATTCCGAAATGAAAATACTAGATGCAAAATGGATAAATTTCTATTACGAACAAAGTATCGAATCTAATTTTTAATATTGAATTTAACAAGATTTCGAATTTTTACGATTTTGTTTTAAAATTCGAACTTTTTATTAAAAAAAGAAAAGGGGGGAAAGTTTCGTAATTTTCCACGCGTGTCACAGTTTGTTGCTGACACTTCGATTTCGAAACGTTCTGTTAGAAAAGTAAATGGAGGATTCTAAGTTTTTGAACAGCGTTGTATGAGAGGATTGCGAAATGTCGCACTGATTTTACGGAAATTTTACTATAACTTGCACACCGTGATTGCTTCCTGGGAAAAAGGTTGACGGAAGCAATCGTTTTTCCAATATGCTCCCCCCCCCCCCGTTATTTTAAATTTTTTTACTCGAACAATAAAAGTTCGCCAGGAGAGACAATCATCTTTTGTTGTATTCGAATTTTGTTTATGGGATCATTAGGCTTTCCGTTAAAGGAAAAAATAGCCAATCAAACAGTGCTCGAGAGAATTGTGCACTTTTTTGTATTGATTCCTTTTTTTTTTTCATTTAAAAATTAATTTTTATTCTAATCTATCTTCTTTTTTTTTGTCATTTCAGATGCTGTCTCCATCTCGTTCAACTCATCTCGAGAGCTCCAAATTGTGATCGTTGAAACATCACAGGTTAACTATTAATTCCTTTAATTATCATTCAAGTAATAATTTTTAATGTATGTGTTCTAATTGCAAGTTGATAATTCTCTTCTCTTTCCAATTTTCAGGTATGCTGCATCAAAGATTTTTGTTAAGTTCAGAATTAATTGATCAGCGAGATGAAATCGTATGAAGGAAATAGGATTTCGTTTATCTGAATCCATTTATCTCCAGGAGATAAACAGTTTATATAACCCATGTGCATAACAGCCAATTCTCCTCTCAATTTATCATTTCTATTCAAACAATATATAGGAGATAATAGCTCTAATAAGTGTTTCGTGATTACTAAAAGTTTGCATAAAGAGATTAGGTAAACCCATTAAAAATAAATTTTCTAGAATATTGTATCAACTTTTGATCTGAACAACGGAATATTAATAAACCCGACGTTTAATTAACTTGATGTCGACGAAAGACCTCGGCAATTATCTTTGAAAGCATTTTTTACACTCATCAAATTACTTTATGCAATTATTGTTAAATGCTTTGAACTTATGAAGTACTCCGTATTGCAAAATTTTCAAAGGAATTCCAGTAATACGCTACAAAAGAAGTGAAAATTGATCTAAGAAAACTGAAAAGTCTTAGCAGCAATGAAGAGTAATTGCAAAGGGCAAGGTCCTTGAGGAACCAGTGTATTAAATTTAGCAGCTGCGTCTTTCATCTCCAATCAGTTAACCAGCTATAAGCGATTCCCGATGTAAAGACTAGAAGGATTTTCTTATTATTACGAGGCGGTTAAAAGCGGCGAGAAAGAGCTTCCCTGATCGGTTTTCACCGATGAAAAAAAGAATGGCTCTCGCCTCCCTTTATCACGTGGCCATGGTGTGTCACGTTTTCAGTAGGCCGCGTGAGATCGACGCTAAACACGTGTACAACCCAATCGGGGATATTGTATTTTGGAATTAATGGAAATTCACCTGATCGACACCGTCCGTCCGTACTTAAATTAATTAACCTTGCCTTCTACATCCATCGTGTTTCGTAATCTGTTTAATTAACACACGCGCCGGACTTGACTTCTTTGCGCCCTTTACGTAACAGGAATTTTAACTTGGTTCTTCGATGATGTATACTGGAATTCCTGTGTTAGATTGTTGTGATGCAACTTGTGACGATGATTAGATTAGGTGTAAATATACAAATTAGTTTATTATAGTTATACAAATTGGTTTATTTTGATTAGATCTAAGTTTTAATAAAGAATGTGTCACTGAATGTATTATTAACTTTTGCTAAATTTGTTTTTATTAAAATTAATCTTTATTGTGCAATATACACATATAATCGAATGTTAATAATATAAATAGTCAGTAATAATATTAGTAGTCAAATGAATTACATAATAATGGTCTCGAGATCTTTCTCTAAAAAATCTTCTCTAAGTGAACAAGAATTACTTACTAAAGGATACCTCTATTGTTTCACAAAAAGTATTTATCAGACATACTTCCATCACATCCAGACGCCAGAATAACGAGAACATATCTCCATTAACTTGCTAATACAATGTAAATAACTTAGACAACACTTCCTGCTGGATCCAAAAATAAAACCATTTAAATGTCTCGAATATTTCAGGTTCATTTAAATAATCAAAAAAAGGTCCATTGTCGGTCACAAGACCAATTTCACATTGCCGCAAGCTTCGTGTTACGCCTTGTTCCGTATAATTGGTCCGTGCGAACAAGGATCGACGCTGGCGCGAACAACTCTCTGGCCAAATGGTGGAGGGGTTGAAGTGCGATTCCTTGCGCGACTACACGCGACCCTAACCGGTTCAGAACAGTTGCCGCGCGTACTTTGTCACGTTCGCGTCGCTGACCGTGATCGTAAGCTTGTCACGAGACTGCAACCACCTTTCTTCGAGTGATCTCTTTTAAATGCTTCGTTTCATCCGGTGAGTCTTTCTCAAGTGTTTTATAAATGAATTTTTACCTTTAAATTTAGTTTACTTACAGCCAGCTTGAATTATCTAATTCAATGGTACAAAATGGTTTGAACTGGTTGAAATGGTTACTAATAGAAAGTATTTGGACAGAACATTGTTGACAGTTTGAAGGAATTTTTATTTTAGATCTGTTGTGTGGTCTGGTATACAACTCTTTTGCTTTCTTGACTCTTTTTACTTTGAATTTTTCTTCAACAACTGTGATCTTCAAATGATTTTGAACTTTTCGATGTCTTAAGATATTTCAATGTAATTTTAGTGAGTAAATTTTTGAAAGAATCTTAAACAGTTGGATATTCATGTAGGATATTTATTATTAGATTATCTCCAGATTTGACGTGGATCTTGATTTTTAGATTAAATTTCATTCTTTCTTTTCTATAATTTTTTAAAAGATAGAATATTCTATTCTTTTTAGGAGGAATATCAGGAGAATGTAGTTGAGTGTTCTTGAGTTGTTTAATACAGCATTCCATTCTTTCTAATAATTACAAATGCGATTAAATTATTTGAGACCTTGATCTTCAGATCAAATTTCATTTTACCCTTTTTACAATATTTCATCGTAATTTCATCAGTTTTCCCATGTTTTTACAAACGTTTCTACGCTTCTTAACAATGACAAGAGGACGATTGCTTGCTATAGAACCATCGTGATTGCTGCACGAGTGATACTGATCGTTTCACTACCCACTGCTTGTATTTCATTAATGGAAAAAGCGATCGTCTACCACGGCATCCCGGCTCTTTATTTATCCACGAAAGTCGAAGAAAGGATCTATCTAGAGACGATATCATTGAAAGTAGTGCAGATGTATCAGCCTGATTGACGATTCGTCGGCGCGTAATTATTCGCGTGTGCACCACGTTAATCTACACCCCCGCGATTTCCAATTATCTGCAACTCCCCCGACAGCTCTGCATTCCCCTTGCATCTCGTGGACGTCGCATCTTCTGTCAGCAATTATTTTCTTCTCTAGAGAAATGTTTGATCCCATTGGCCACGAAATTTAATTAACGTTTATTTTTTACACGGTTGCGTTACTCCAATGAGAAGAATATAACTTCAGCATAACATTTCTCTGTGAGAGAAACGACGTTATGAATGATGTTTTAGTTGGAGATCCGTACAAAATTGCTTTGTTTTTGCTTCGCTGTGCCACGTACGAGTTGAAAGTGTCAGATATATATTTTTATTTGATTTTAGAAATTAAGAATGATATGGTATGGTGTAATATATGTAGCATATGTAATATATGTAGTAGTATGGGTACATAATATTAGTATTATAATTATGGGTACATAATATTAGTATTAGTATTATATTTTTATTATTGATTTTAGAAATTATGATATGGTATGGTATAATATATGTAGCATACTGTAGTAGTATGGGTAGGATAGCATAATATTAGTATTATAGTAGTATATTATTGGAGACTTTTTGATGGTTCATGTATCTATCACTATTATCTGAATTTTTCTGTTCTACTATATCATTTAAAAAATATTATTTCATTCTATGTTCTAGAAGAACTTGAAATTATCTGTGTATCAATGTACTTTAATTCTTTTGAATTTCAATTAAGATTGAATAACTCTTCAAAAAATGAACACCATTTCATTCCAATTTTTAGATATAACGTGATGAAATATCGAAGAGTCATTTCGTTTATAACACTTTTTTAATATTCACTTAATTTTACCTCCAAACGATTCAGTTAGCGTTCAATGATTCATTAGTACAAATATCCCAATTGGTTATTGATGTTTTAATAAATAAATAAATTCATTAGAATTATTGATGATTTATTAAAAGAACATTGAATATTGTCCGAACATTCTTGGCTTATTCTACTTAACATTCAGGATTTTTATTTAGATCTAGGTATTTTAATTACTTTTAATTACTTTTTAATATATTTTAGAATAAAAATTCATTATTGAATATGATTTTCATTGATCAGCAAATTTAGTTGATTCACCATCATTATATTATGCTAAAAAAATCCATTTATAAGTCAATGAAGTGTTTGATCAATGCGGACTTATTTTAGCTGATTTTCATTTACCTCCACTATAGATATTTTAACTGATTGAAGTTCACAGAGGAAAAATATTAATTCTTTGTTAGAAATTATTGTTTTATCTGATTAAATTCTTTTTATTAGATTAACTATGTATTTATATATAGTATTAAACATTTCAAAAATTCTTGATTGTTTGTACAATTTTATGGATTTATACTTTTAAATCTAACAAGTAATTACCTAAATCAGCATACGATGTTAAAATCAAAAAGTTAATAAAAATGAATTTGTCTTTGTATCTGCATTTAATTATTAATATTTCTTGAAGTTGAATCGAATGAAAGATGTTTTATTTATTAAAAACCAGTTTGATTATGCAAGAAAGATTCACTGATTGCACTAGTCTGAGAAATCCTAACTGATTCTACTTATGTGGCTGCTTCGCCTTTCATTTACCTTAACTCCTCGATTATCTGAGAAACAGTGTAATCTTGTTGTTTCTGTTGAGTTAAAGTTGTCTGTCAGCCTCTTCATGGGAAATTGCAGATGAAATGGAAGTACACGTCTAAGAGATTGGAAATGAAATAAGAATTTTCAGTTAATGTAATTCTAGATTTTAACGTTGACTAGTTTCTTAAACTTTTATTGAATCGGACTTCTTTTTAGCTATAGCTTTCTTCAAATTAAATTTGGGACCGAACAATAGGACAATCATATTAAATTTTATTATAACTTTAATTAAACAATTCTTTTATATCTTGTTGTTATTTAATTACAGTTTCAAAATTTTTATCTTATTTTTATGTTTTTGTTCCAGCTAGTGACAAAATTAGAATTCCCACCTAAATTCCAGAGATAGGTTGTTGAAATAGTTGAAGTATAGTGATTCTAGCGAATAGTGTTTGACACCACGTCAGGAACATTGGTAACTTTCTTCAACCTCGAAGGTCACTGACTCTAGATTGAAAAGGACTAATTGTAGACATCTGGGGGATTATGGTTTCTCGTTTGGTATGCAACACGCTATACATATGTACTCTGCCTACGCAAGAGTTACTAGGTCGCCGCTATAATTTCATCCTTTCGATATGCAACCGGTGTTGCATAAATTTCCCCCTGGCTTCCTCGATTCTGGCTACCTCTAGCATCATAGTGGTCAGTGGTCACTGAACCATGTTAATAACATGGATACGTTATACTGACATGAACAATGTTACAATATTATTGGGCCCGTTAGACTTTTCATAGTTATGTTAATTTCATTACAATATTTAGAATTACTGTGTGTAATGTTAGGTAATGACATTACACGTATGTACGTATAGAATTTAGTATGTTGACTTTATGAATATCCACTTTTACTAATGGATATCATTTTGATATTCTGTTGGAACATATTATAAAATGCAGAATATATTATAAAATGTAATTTATCAATTGAATTGTGTGAGCTGTATTTTTAAAATGGAAAGGAAATATGTACCTGAAATATTCAATTAGGTGCCACTATCTCATTTGAAAGTATAAGATCCTCTTTAAAATCGTAGTCGCACATTCTAGACTCATAAAAATGCATAAAGTGAATTTCAGACTCTATTTCGTTGCAATATTTCGTTCTTTTCTGTCTCTGACACTTTTCAGACACCGTTGGATTCAACTGTTTTAATCATTTAATCATTTACTATTAAGTTTCTAGAATTCAAGTTTAACGAAACCTTACAACAAACCAGAAACTATAATCTAATTATTCCTCAATTCCCAAAGATTATTCCAATTTATCTCAAACTGCCGGTCCCGGCAAAACAAAACAATCACTTTCCCTCATTAAATTTTCAAACCATTGTCCGCAGAAAGATTCCGCCAAAATCCCAGTGGATCTTGAATCAGGCTGGTTCCAATCGTTAAACGTTCATCCAGGTCAAGGCTCGACAGTCGGGATGGGCTTCTCACGAACAATGGACGTGCGATATTGCAGCAATTAGCGAGTGAATATTAGGAAAAGCAGGGAAACGCACGCTTGGTCTCCCGTTTCATCTAGTACATAGCTTGTTATGCCTATGGAGCATGTTTGTTCATAGCAATATACGATCGTTCAAAAAAGTATTTGAACCCACCTGTACAAACCTCTTGCGGCTCTATTATAAATATATTAGATGCACGCTATATCTTGAAATTGTGTCAGTACTATAATGAGATTCGACTAAGATTATATTGGCAAAATTATTTAAAATATTTACTTGTTGCAAATATTTACTTATTACTTATATTTATTACTTATATTTTCTTTATGCTTACTTATTACTTGTATTTTCTAAAGATTATAAAAGCGAGTCATTTTTAATACTTATTGTACATTTAAAATGACCATTATTGAATTTTTATAATTTTTACATAAAGATAGCTAGGCGAACAGAACTTGAACAGAAATTTGTTCCATGTATTTTCAAAATTCTCAGACTATCTGTTATGCTGATATTACGATGGCTATGATTGATGTAAAATTTTCACAATATATTCATAATATTCGTGTCACATTATATAATAGTACTGAAATTTCAAAATGTTCCATGCAAACATAACATATACTCGCAAATATTCAAAAACATTTTCACGGGCTATTTTCTGTGAATAATGTCTTGTACTATATCGATCATTCACGCGCCTGTCGGTAGACAACGTATGATACACGGCCGTGATGCATAACGGGTTGTCTGACGCCGGATGCCTAACTCTCGCTCATCTTCAAACCCTTGTTCTCGTAATTAAAGAACGAAGCAAAACTCAGCATAAATTTGTTAGACAAATAATGTTCTTCTTATCGTTCCATCGCTTTATCGCAACCTACATTTCTATATTTCCTTTCTTCCGTTACTATTTTAGATTCCCCCCCCTAGCTAGAAAGAAAGTTTTATCGCGAGAAGAGAAAATTTCTTACTTTCCTCGCAGCTACTATTTTTTTCTCCAGCTCTTTCTCCTTTGTATTATTATTTCTCATCTTCTCCCGCGATGTTGCTGTTCTTCTTCAAACGAACGGTATTCCCTGGAATTTTTCTGTGAGATTGTAATCCATGGATATCTATGTATGTACATACGTAGTTGCCCGTATTGAGGATATTGATCGATATCGTGTTGAATTTTATCGAAACGAATTTTATTTGCGAAAGGAAAAGCTGGCAGTTGGCGAAATAATTTGATGAAGCACATATAGGAGGAAATTACCGAGCCGTGGCGCCGATTGCTGCAAAACAGTTCGAAATTAATATGTTTTTCATGAGTCCACCCAACAAACTTTCCACGTTGTTGGCTACTTTCTTGCCCTGCAAATATTTTAATCCCTGTTTGGCATTTTGTCTCCGCTTTATGAGTTTTTGGCAATTAAGTTATCAAAATTCAATCTTCACTCTGAAAAGTAGAGTTTGAACTTTTTCTCTTTCTCTTTCTCGAGAGAGAGAGAGAGAGAGAGAGAGAGAGAGAGAGAATCTAGGAATCACTAGGGCTTTTAAAGATAAAAAAAGAAATTTTATAATTTGGAAATTTCATAATTGCTCAAACATTAAAATAATTCAAATTTATACAAAAGTTTGAATTTTCACAAAAAAATCTAACTTTTAAATAATTTTTCTATAATTATTAACTTTTAAATAATTTTTCTATAATTATTAATTCTTAAATAATTTTTCTGGAATTATTTTTAACTTTTAAATAATTTTTCTATAATTTTTCTATAATTTTTATAATTTTTCTATAATTTTCTATAATTATTAACTCTTAAATAATTTTTCTATAATTTTTCTATAATTTCTCTATAATTTCTATAATTTTTCTATAATTTCTCTATAATTTTTATAATTTTTCTATAATTTCTATAATTTTTCTATAATTTTTTTATAATTTTCTATAATTATTAACTCTTAAATAATTTTTTTTGTAATTATTAACTTTTAAATAATTTTTCTATAATTTTTCTTTTAAATAATTTGAATAAATTCGATCGTCAGTCGCACAGAAGCAAAAGTGTAGAAGTTCGAGAATTGTCGAAGCTCTTACCCACTCTAATTCTTAAAAATCGTCAGAACTCATTATTGAAATCAAAACGTGTATTTAATCATCTCTTAATATAAATTAACTTCAAAAAATTTAACATTTTTAATAAATTTAATCTGTTTCGTTTTTAAGGTTGACAAATTTTCTGCATAGTTTGTGTCTTTCTCTTTGATCGTGGAGGAGCTAATAATTCTGTTTTAATAACGGTGACCTATTTTTAAACGTCAGATAAATCCCGAAGTGAAATTCTCATGGGGCATCCTGGGTAGATGAAAATTTGTTGGACACTGCCTGATTAGGAGTCGAATCAACGTTCTGTAGCGAATCTACCATTATTTTCTCAGATATTACGATTGTCATATGCAAACATATGCAGAATTCTGTATAATTAAATCTTGTTTATTCAATTAACTAATCGGTTCGAGAATCGCAATCACAACGATGACAAATGTTTGAGATTAGGTTTCTTCATCTTTTCTAAAACTTAATAAAGACAGACTGAAGGAGGCTATTCAAACAGACAAATTATTAATACGTAATTAATTATAAACACAATTGTTCAATTGTAATTAGAAGGTGTGAAATTTGAGATTAATTTGAGTCTCTGAAACTACATGTCCAGACCTAATCTAAATCTAGACCAAATTGAGAATTGGGGTAGATTTAGACGTTTCTTAGCAATTAATATTAATTGATGTTGAATATTAAATTACTAAGCAAAACTTACGAAATAATGTTCAAATTTTAAAATACTAATATATATTTTTACTTTCTTCTATTTATATTACTTACTTAAATCCTAACTTAAAATACTCATATTCATATTATTTACTTAAATCCTTACTTAAATTTTAAAATACTGAAATATATTTTTACTTATTTATATTTATATTATTTATATTTATATTAATTACTTATATTTATATTAATTACTTATTTATATTTATATTAATTACTTAAATCCTAATTTAAAATACTCATATTTATATTACTTACTTAAATCCTTACTTAATTACTAAAATACTTAAATTTTAAAATACTGAAATATATTTTTCTCAATAGCGTCAAATGATAAATAATAATTCTGATTCTTTCGTCATATTTGCTTCGTATCGGACAGATTTAATCATCATACGTGTTATTGTCATTACATTTTGTTAAAAGGGAAATTAGCGATGAAACGATTTGCAATGATATTGGTACGATAGAACGACGTGATGTTATCAAGGCCAATGTTTAATGCTCATCTTTTAATGTCTTTGAACAACCTAGCTTGATAACTTTGCGCAGAGGTACGCAATTTCTAAAGTCATTGTGCAATAATAAAGAATTAAAAATTTTCAAAGTCTTTGCGCAGTTACAGAGAATATAAAAATTTTAACAACAGAATGTTTAAAGGGATTTTTTTTTTTTCAACGAAAGCTAATTTTCAACTGTCGAGCCTCTGCGGAATACTCTTTTCCATTTAAAAATCTGTTTGTATTATATCTCTTTTCCATTTAAGCTGTTTGATCTTTATAAATGTAAATCAAACAATACGGGTCTCCTTGATTTCACGAGTTAATTATATCCGTAAGATTTCTCTTAATTAATTAGAATTATTTCGCATTAAATTAAAAGACCAGTCATGCCGGCAGATTATTTAATTTTCAATTACGCTGATCGCTCTGTAGGAAATTGTCAATTTCTTATTAATTCGCTGCGTGTTTTAATAAAATTGTCGTGTCATTATTTTTAATTAATAATTGCTGGAACACTAGATCATTGGTGTTACATATTTTTTACTAAATTGCCGAAGAAAAATTATCAAAAATGATTAGAATGTTAATTTATATACCCCGGAACAAGTACATAAAATTACAAAGGAAATATCAAGATAAATCTTTTTTTTTTTAATTATTTTTTTTCTTTTTGTATTTCCATGTAATTGATAGCGATTGAACAATAGGTGAAAAGTCGAGGAGTTTTTATTCAAAGCCAGCGTGCGCGTCGATATTTTCGTAGTGTTCGAAAACCTATTGAAAAGCGCGCCGTTCGATAACAAACAAAAAGGATTCTCCGTTTGTCGAGCTATTTAAATTTATTTGATGGTAATCGTCGTGATTTTTTCCACGGTTCAGTCGCCAGAACCTGAGCGCCACTTTTTATTTTATTTCCTCCGGTGGCTCCGTAGCGTCCATATGCATTTTAAACTCGTTCTTCCACAATAATTCCACGATTGACTTCAAAGCTCCTCAGTAATCCCCGTGACGCTCCTCTTTCACAAACTTCAACAAATCAATTTCACGTTTGCTTCCCGGAAGAGATGCTTTTACGTTCTGGAAGAATGCGGGAGGAGCAAGCCTTTTGTTTCCAACGGGACGAAAGGAAGAATTTTATTTCTACATTTGTGTATAATTTGAAGCTCGAGCGAAGAAGAAATGTTTCGCGAGAGAAGAATCAGAGACCGATGAAACGTTCGGGAGGAGAAAAAAAAAAAAAAAAAAAATACTCGGGCTGAGGCAGAATTCGATGAAATGAGAATCCGATTGAACGGAACACGCAGATACAGATTGAGCAGATACGTATTATCCGGTGAAATCTGCACGCGAATATGAAATTATCCGCCGTTTGAGAATTAAATTGTAATGTCGCAGGGATTAAACGCGATCCTAATCCAGAGTTTTCGAGATTGAACTGCCTTTAGCGTGGTTAGTCTTCAAGTTTCGAGTGGTGCCTCGTTAAAACTTTTCACGGCCGCATAAACCAACCGCAAGTCGTTTTGTATATCCAGTTCCCGGGCCCTCTGTGTGAAAAAGCGTACTTCCTTTTTTTCACTCTTTCCCCCCCTCACTTCTAAAACGCGAGATTTCCTATAAATGTAAACCTGTACATTTATATTTGGAGATATATATATATATATATATATATGTATATATATATATCGCTGCTTCTGTACGTAATTTTTCAATTTTAACGTTTGAAAATCTGTTACGCCTGTTCGAAGCAACTTTGATAAAACGGAGGATGGAAAAATGTTGTGCATTTAAGTATATTTATTTAAGTATATTTGAGCATATTTATTTAAGTATATTTGAGTATATTTATTTAAGTATATTTGAGTATATTTATTTAAGTATATTTGAGTATATTTATTTAAGTATTTCTAAGTATATTCATTTAAGTATATATCTAAGTATATTTATTTAAGTATATTTGAGTATATTTATTTAAGTATATTTGAGTATATTTATTTAAGTATATTTGAGTATATTTATTTAAGTATTTCTAAGTATATTTATTTAAGTATATTTGAGCATATTTATTTAAGTATATTTAAGTACATTTATCTAGGTATATTTATTTAAGTTTATATCTAGGTATATTTATTTAAGTATATTTATTTAAGTTTAGGTATATTTATTTAAGTTTATATCTAGGTATATTTATTTAAGTATATTTGAGTATATTTATTTAAGTATATTTAAGTATATTTATTGAAGTAAAACAATATAGGTAAAACAAATGATAAATTTATCACTTCCCAATAATTTCTATCGAGTGTGATAATCGTACCGCGGAGTTCAAAAAGAAAGCGACGAATTGTATCGTGTACGGTTCGGTCACTCGTTACGGTCCGCAGTCAGTTGCCAGCGCGAAAGTGGTTCAATTGGTGATAGGCCCTCTTCCCCTGCCGGAAGCGAAAACTCCAAACTCCAGTTGCAGAAAGGTCGAATCCAAGAGATTGAGAACGCGATCCATCTCGCCGGCGGTGTGCCGCCAGTCCAGTCGCCCCCTCTGATTATTCTTGCACGGCGCGATGACTTCTTGCCAAAGAAACTGAAATAAATGAGGTTCCTTTGACATTTCCGCATGGATCTTTTTGATCCCTGTCAAAGGTGAACGCCGGAGGAAGTTAAGCGAAGGGATTTGAATGAGAAATGACGAGGACGAGCCAGAGAACGGGTAGTTAACTGGAGTTTCATCTTGTTGATGCAAAGGGAAATGAAACTTGTTTCCTCGCTGGATTCCTTTTCAGTTGGTAATAATGGTTCTTCAACTTCGGTGCCGCGGCATCCTTGTGCACGTGCACAAACCGTGGTACAATTACGTTGTTGCAAAACACACTTTCGCCGTGTAACATCGTTAGTATCTTATCCGCTGCACGATGGATTTTTTTAAAACGGAATTCGACGATCAAACGAACAGCTCAAACTCCTTCTACCTGTTCAGTTCTAACATTTAGCTAGCTCGTTTCATTCAATGAATCGTTTGTTTCAATGGATTTCCTGAATGAACTCGTAGGATAATTTGGAATTTACTTTCTTCGTCCTTTTGTTCTTCAGTGCGCTTGAAATTTATTTAATTGTTCATGAAATAAATTGTTCGTAAACAGGTGGATCGAGTATAAAATTAATTCGAATTTAAATATCTAATTAGATTCTGTCTTGACTCGTGTTAATTATCCAAAATGCGTAAATTAAACCAGCAACGAATTGGGAATGCGATGCAACAGCTATCTGTTTAGCCTTGAGATTAGTATGCTAACCTTTCTATTCTCCCTGAGTCGAGGTACATTTCACGGAAGTTTAATTCAATGAAAACATAACATAAAACCAAATAAAATGGTGTCTCGTTGGAAAGCAAAGCTATGTACCAATAGCTCTTTTAATCACTGTGTACGTACGAGTCGAGTTGGAGGTCTCTTTTTATTTCAATTATTCCTCTAAATTAAAATACACCCAGTGTCGCCCAATTAATGGGCTTACCGGATTAATAGGATCCTCTGTAATTCTTGGACGATGCTCTTTGATTGAACACTGTTTCGTCGCACGTTGATTAATCACCATACCTGTCTGCTGTTGACTGGCGAACAAAGTCGCGTGTAGAGCCAACGCGCCAGATGCTCTCTAGTCTAATCTGATCCGTAAACTGAAAATCATTTTTTCCTAGTTGCCGCCTCTTTCGAACTCTCGGTCAGAGAGTCGTTTCAGTGATCAATTGCTTCGATGTTTCGCAATTACGTATATTTAATTAGAGCAATGCTCCAGAGGAACTGAAACGTAAGAGTTCTAAGGGGCAGGAGAGTTTCGAGAGGGCCTCGAAATTAAAGACAATTGCAAAGATATCGCGAAAACTGCGAGAAATCCAAAGGAAATCGAAAATTTGCAATGCAAAGAATTAATAAATGAAGAAGAGATCAATGGAAAATTAAGAAATTCCAGATATTGTCTGAACAATGTCAGAAATCTCCAGATTAAGGAAACTAAAGTGGATGAAAGGAATTCTCGATATTTCCATAATAAAATCTAAGAAAATTCCCAATATCCCAATACTGAAATTTAGTTATAAGTAGCGCATCGTCCCCCTAACACGCAGTTGTGTCTTTCTCATTGCAGATTCGCGTTTCCTGGTATTTGATGGATCATTGGATTAAGCTGGCGTAACAGTTTGACCTGTGGAACAGCGTTTCTCCTGGAATTAGACTCCCGTGGGGAATTTTCAGCCGGGAAATATACGTATCACGTTCGTAAAGGGGATATAATCATGCCCGATAATGCGGACTAATGTGCGGCTCTATAATTAAACAAGATGGTGAAGATGGTGTTAACTCAGAAGACGTTATACTACAAGTACAAGGAAGAGAGTATCGCAGACTTTGCTAATTAGCCTGGTATCTGCAATTAGATTGGCTTCTGACTTGGGTATGTAAGTCTCATCAGTTCTGTCACATTCCTTTTTCCTTTTATTTCTGTTTCTTTCCTTTTTTTTCTTCTGACGTTATAGAAGAAATCTCTGTCAGTCTGTTTGGGTATTATTTATGCGTTGTTTCTGGTTTATTTTGGGTAAGAATTCTCATTTATTTTACTTTTGACCGATGAAATTTTTACTTACTCTACTCACTTACTTGTTACTAGTTACTAAATCTTTTATTTCTGTTTCTTACCTTTTTTTCTTCTGACGTTATAGAAGAAATCTCTGTCAGTCTGTTTGGGTATTATTTATGCGTTGTTTCTGGTTTATTTTGGGTAAGAATTCTCATTTATTTTACTTTTGACCGATGAAATTTTTACTTACTCTACTCACTTACTTGTTACTAGTTACTAAATCTTTTATTTCTGTTTCTTACCTTTTTTTCTTCTGACGTTATAGAAGAAATCTCTGTCAGTCTGTTTGGGTATTATTTATGCGTTGTTTCTGGTTTATTTTGGGTAAGAATTCTCATTTATTTTACTTTTGACCGATGAAATTTTTACTTACTCTACTCACTTACTTGTTACTAGTTACTAAATCTTTTATTTCTGTTTCTTACCTTTTTTTCTTCTGACGTTATAGAAGAAATCTCTGTTAGTTTGTAGTATTATTTTAGGTATTGTTTTAGGTATTATTTATGTTGTTTTTGATTTACTTTGGGTAAGAATTCTCATTTATTTTACTTTTGACTGATGAAATTTTTACTTACTCTACTCTTTTCACTTACTTGTTAGTAGTTACTAAATCTTTACTTTAGTCACATGTTCGTGAGTATTTATTTATTTATTGCCATCCATACATACATAGTGCCGTCTTTGAATGTAATTTAATGCTATATACTTATCTTGTTATTTGCCCCATCCATACATACATAGCGTTGTCTTTGGATATAATTGCCCCATACATACATACATACGTAGTGTTGTCTTTGGATGTAATTTAATGCTACATACTTATCTTGTTTATCACTTATCGGTCAGCTAATTTATATTGCTTAAAAAATAGTTCTTACGTCTACTATGATCTCTAATAATTTACAAAACTTTGGCGGAAATTTTGCTACTTTTCACAGTTTATATATATTACTTCTCGCAGACTATTGCACTAGGGTTTGAGGGTCGTTTTAATTCAACTATCTCGCTTTCATACTTTCTTGTAAATTTGCACATCTATCTTCACATCTACCTTCCCCTTTATGATCTTGTCTGACTGTCTATCAAGATCCTCCTCACTTTTGAACTCTTCTGTCACATGTTCGTGAGTATTTCTGGTAATTAGAAACACTTCTGTCTTAAAAACAGAAATCAAAACTAAATTTTAATTACTGAAGCTTTACTCGTGAAGAAAGAAACATTATTCGCGAAATTGCGCGAAGTATTGTGTTTTTATGGAGTTTCGCGAGACGAAGAAAAATTGCCATTGTTGCCACACCAACTCGAGAAAAGAAGTGAGGATCATTTGTCTAGAGACAGTAATAACTTTCGAGTGGATAAACGTTGATGAGGATAAAATAGCGTGTTACTTTAACGAATGGAAATTGATTGTTCTTCTCTCTGATCGTTTTATATGTACGAGAATGAAGGACATATAATTGGAAGTGTAGCTTCATGATGGATCACCTCTCTGGTAATTTTTCATTTCGGCGATGTCGATTGTAAACGGCAAAAAGCGTGAAAAATTATCAGCAGCTTGACAATCTTATAATTTCTGAAGTAGCTTGTGCTCACTGTTAGAATTTTCACTTGGAGAATGAAATGTAGGCCAGATTAGCTAAATTTGATGTTCCTGAATATTTCACGACATAGCATAAAAGCAAGCATAAGTATCTACTACAGTGTCACATCATTGATTAAAACAAAAATTGAATGAAATATTTACTAACAAATGTCACTGAAGTATCGTTAAAATTTAATGATAATCACTTTCACGATTAACGAATTACTCTGACAGTTATTTTAATACAAATGCACAAGTACTTTCGCTCGTTCATATTTTTAAAACTACTTAAAACTCTAACACACGAAACAAAACATAAATTCTACGTCTAAACTCTAACGACACTCTCCACGCATTATGATTTCCAAAAGAAAATGCTCGGGCACGCAAGTTTTTTGCACCGTGGGTTTATCATCCTCTTGGTGACTTTTCTTTTTTAGCCGGAGCGATTGTCCCGAACGCGAAGAAAGAACAGAGGAGGCAGAAAACCGGATATCACAAACATAATGAAAGGATGTTGAGGCAGTCAAGCTATTTTGAGGCTAAATGAGCTTTCCACCGGCGAGGAAGAAGTGGTTCTTTCACTTTTCCAGCCGGCTGATGCCGGTTGACGTACAGTGGGATTTTTGACCTACAAAAACCAGTTGTCCTTGCCAGAGCCACGACCACCCTCCTCGCAATCGATTGTCCCATTTCAACGCGAAATTCTGACGCGGTGCCGCGAACGATGCAGCCGGAATCTCTTTTAGGTTGGAGGGGGAGACCCTATCCTTCCAAACGCAGGAAATTCTCTTGATTGAGAGGAATCTCCTTCTTTCTCTTTTTTTTCTTTTTCGACGCTTCTTTCACCTGAATAGCTGTTTCAACGACGAGAGTTTGATGGTGATTTCTCAAAGACAAATAGACAGGAAACTTTTAGGTTACAGGAAGGGCTGTTCGAATTACAGAGGTTCTTTCAACTCTCAGGCAAATATTTTAGGTTGTACAGTTTTTTGTTACAGTTAGGAACGTCTAGGCATTTAGGTTATAGGGAGATCCTTTGGATTGCAGGGAAATTCCTCGAGCCTTGAGTTGAATATTTTAGGTTACAGGAGGTCACAAGGTATTTTGGGGTCAACCTTTGGACGGCAGAGAGACTTTAAAGAAGCCAGAAAGCCTCTTTAAAGATCTATGTCGGATTTTCCTCCTCTGTTCATTCTCTAGAATTTGGGGGAGGATATTTTTAATGACAGACAGAGTTTCTTCCTTTTCTTCTTTTAAATTCCAAGAGAACATTTTCAATCACCAGAGAGAGTTTTGTTTCGATCATCTTGAAGTTTGAACATTTTTTTCCCCCAATATCGCAGGATTTTCCTTCTGCTCCAGGTTTCATCAAAGTTTAGAGGAATATTTTAGATTGCAGGGAGAAGTTTTATGCTACATACTGTTTTCACAATGCGAAGCATTTCTTCGTCTCTTCGTCTCTTCGCTGAGAGTTACTTTCAGATTTCAGAATATTATTTACAAACGACAACGAGACATTTTGAACTGTAAAACAGAAAGACGTCACACACTTCTGTGTGTGAATTTCCATCTAATTACGAATAATTTTCCACGATAATTATCTACGTCAGAAGAAGGTAGAAGGAAAATGAATCAAGCACAGTGTAATAATACTTCTTTGCCAATTAAATATATCTCCCCCAATTAGGAAGATGAAAGATAATACTCCTCCTCCTCGACAAAATTCATCGCACATGATCAAAACTTTCTCATAAATATTTCCACAAATCATTTCTTCTCACGAGCCGTGAGTATGCCTTCGACGTGCTGAGAAACTCGCTGAATTATTCGAAGTAGGGCCTCGGGCTTCAAGAGAGTCAAGTCCTCCGCGAGGATTTCATTAAGCAGTCGTCGTCACCTTTGTTCCCTGTAGCGAATTTCGGTGTAGTCGTGGTGATGTACAGTTCAACGGCAGCAGAAACTAGCTTGAACCGCGTAACGGGGAATCACCGTGATCCATCCCAGGATGCATCTGCAGCTCGTAACTTTCTTGTGTGGCTGATAATGTGATTTCGTGGAAGAAGAGACGCGGAGAGACAGGGAGGAGGCAGGAAGAGCGACTGCAATCTAATAAACTGCTTGGCAGCATGCACACAGCCTGACCATGCGTGTTAATGCGAAATTGTTGAAACTAAAACTTGAGTGAGTGTAATTCAGGTCATTTTTATACGTGTAAGGCTGTAATGTCTGAATTTCGAATTAGCTGAGTAAACAGTTGAATGAGAAGTAGAAGACTTGTTACATTTGTGTAGTGATAGTCTAGATATGGATCAGAGAAACAAACATCTTTGATGTATGGTGTTTATGGGTACTAATAGGGGAAGAATATTTTTATTATCGAATGGCAGAATTGTTTCTGGGAGAAATATAATAATACAATAGTATAATAAACTTTCATCGAATTTTACTAATTTAATAGCACAAAATTGTTAAAACACATTCATTCAGTCATCGTACTCGTTTATGCTTGTTACTATACTTGAATTATTATATTATGTTATACTTTAAGAAGAAAGGGATAAAATTTCATTTTATTTATCCACAAAAGATTGTAAAATAGGAAAAATTTCCAAGAAGACCAATTTCTTTCGAGTGAAAAATAACTGAATCGTGTTCGAAACTCGAGAATCAAAAGAAACTTCAAGAATCGAAAACCAATGGTGAAGTTAAGATTAGCAGGGAACTTTCGATGGAAACATTTTGACCATCGCTGAAATCGTTCGATTGAGATACGTGTTGATCTTCTGCTTGACCTATTTCCTTGCCTACATCACATCAGGCTATCTGTGTTTTTCTTTGTCCCCGGGCAGGTTTTCCACCATTTTCCTGGCCATTTGAAAACATCACAGGAAAAAATAACATGCTCCACTAAACAACATCGACTATGCAGTTTTTCGACAGTCGTACAATACCACCGGCGACGCGTTTTACCCTTTTTGGTATTCATCTTTCGACCTGATTGCGCAACTTTCGCTATTTTGGGATATGGAAGAATTGGGGAATTACGTTTGGGAACGTTGGAACGTTGGGAAATTTGGAAAAATTGAAAATTAAGAAGTTTGGGAATTAGAAAATTCGAAGAACGGGAACTAAAGAATGTAAAATGATTGGGGAATTTGGAGGTTATATTAGAAAATTAATGAGCCAAAATTTTGGGAGACCGGGGAACTAGAGAATTTGAAGTGCTGAAAAA